CTCTTTTAGTATTAATTTAATTATAGTATACAAACTTAAAAAAATATAAAAAAGTTCTTTTTGGAAAAAGTGTAGAAACTATTTTAAAAAACAAATTGTTGCATAGTCATTGTTAATTTTCAAACTTTTTGTTATAATTTCACATTTAATTTTAAATTATATATTAAAAAATATAGGTGTTTTATGATTACAAGTGTTATTAAATAAAGTTTTTTATAAATAATTAATAATTAGTAATTAGTAATTAGTGAGTGTGGCTTTTTTAACAATTTGGATTCCCATTGATAATATCAATCGGGAAATATCCCAATGACACTCTGAATGACATAATAAACATTCGCCTCCATTGAGTTCTTTGCTGTCTCAAGTCTTTTTTAATCGTAATTAAATCGCGTTTTCGAGTTTTTGTTATCGAGTGGGAGTGACACCAAAAGGAGTACTATTTTATTTCAAAATTGTATCTTGAGTTCATACATCTGTTATTTGACAGCAACATAGAAATTGACTTCAGTCTCATTTCCACCTTCTCTTTCACAAATTCGCCAAACTTGTCTGTCATACAAGAGAAGAGCAAAATAAAAGTAGCATTTTAATACCATAGTGTGGCTTTTTAAACTTTTTATTTATATAAGACTGAAAACTATTTATATAAAGCATTTTGTGCTTAAAAAGTTTGTAATATAAAAACAACGTCCACAATTTCGGGAAATTAATTGTCGTTTAAATTATTATTTGTTTTTGAATTATTTATGTTTTCATTTAACTTTATTATTAAATTTTTAACACGTTTTTTTAGTAAAAAATAAACTTAAATTTATTATATTATAATCATAAACATTTAACATTAATTAGAATTATATATTTTTTTAAATAAAAAAAATTTAGAAAAATAATTTAAATTTCACATTTATATTTTTAAATAATTATAAAAATAATCAAATTTTGTTATATACAAACTTTTTAATTGAAATCTATTTATTTTGTTGTAAAAAAAATATTATTTTTGTGATTATCGTTAATACATGATATTTAAAATTACAAATTAAATTATAAAAAGCAAATTAAAATAATTAACAATTAATTTTGTAACTTGTCTTTTTGCTTTTTATTGAATAATTCAATCTTTCTGCTGTAAATTTTAATGGACTGTTTAAATAATCAATTTGGTTTATTCGATTGAATGTTCTTTCCACATCACTTGTTGAAGGAAATATGGTTAGAAGGACGTCAACAATTTTAATAAGTTGTGATAATTGATTGTTTTTTAATATTTGAAAGACGTCCAACAAACGCACTTTTGTTATATAATTAGTCTTTTCAATCAATATTCGGTCATATTCTGATTGTAGTTGATTATTAATACTGTTATTAATAATTCTTTTTTGTCTTCAACGTTCAAACGTGATAACAAGTTTTTTAAAATTAACAATTCATCAGAAAAAATAAATAATTG